TCGTCGGCGATGATCAGGGTGCGCTCGAATTGTCCCGTATTGCGTTCGTTGATGCGGAAGTAGGTGGATAGCTCCATCGGACAGCGCACACCTTTTGGAATGTAGACAAAGGAACCATCACTGAAGACCGCTGAGTTCAGAGCTGCATAAAAGTTGTCGCGTTGAGGTACGACGCTGCCAAGGTATTTTTTGACCAGTTCCGGGTGGCTGTGCACCGCTTCTGATATCGGGCAGAACACTACGCCGGCCTCTGCCAGTTTGTCTTTGAAAGTAGTGGCGATGGAAACGCTGTCGAACACTGCATCGACGGCAACGTTGGGTCGGCTTTGAATAACGCCGGCCAATGCTTCCTGTTCATGTAGCGGAATGCCCAGCTTCTCATAGGTCCGCAGTAACTCGGGATCTACGTCTGCCAGAGATTTTGGTCCATCAGACATATCTTTAGGTGCCGAGTAGTAGGAGATGGCCTCAAAATCCACTGCAGGGAAATGCACGTGGGCCCATTCCGGCGCGGTCATGGCGCGCCAGTGTGTGTAGGCCTGCAGACGCCACTCGGTGAGCCATTCGGGTTCACCTTTTTTGGCGGATATGAAACGCACCACAGATTCGTCCAAACCCGGTGGAATGGTGTCTGATTCAATGTCGGAAACAAATCCAGCCTGGTATTCAGCGTTGGATTCAACCAAATCGTCGACAGAATGGCTCACACTATGTCCTCTATGATGCGTAAACTCTTGGTATGTCAGCCCGGTTGTCTGGCGATGCGCCGCCGGGTTACAAAAGATGACCGCAGTTTAACCTTTGGTAATACCCAAGTAAATTAGTCGGGTATTTTAGCGAGCCAATAATTGGCCTATTTGAGGAACTTTTATGCCCAGACTGGAGCGGGTACCCGAGCCGCATATTGATTATGCGTACGGTATTTTTTTACTCGATAATAAACATAATCTGATAAAAGCGCTGAAGAAGCGTTATCAACCGTCGATCCATGGTCACAAGACCTGGGGATCCAGCTTCGTTCTGATGGATTACCTGACTCACCATGGCATTCGGCGGGGGGCATCCGTTATGGAAATCGGCTGTGGCTGGGGCCCGGCATCGGTGTTCTGTGGCCATCATTTCAAAGCAAAAATGACGGCCGTTGATCTGGATTCAGCAGTGTTTCCCTTTCTGGATGTGCTGGCGGAATTGAATGGCGTTGAAATAAAACACCTGCAGGCGGACTTCACCAAGGTGAAAAGCGCAGATCTGGCGGGCCAGCGTTACATTGTCGGCAGTGATATCTGTTTCTGGGATTCACTGGTCAAGCCACTGGGGCGCCTGGTTAACCGGGCATTTAAAGCCGGTGTTGAACGCGTTGTCATTACCGACCCTGGGCGGCCTACTTTTTACGAATTCTGCGACCTGATGTCGAAGAAACACGATGCCAAACTACAGGAGTGGTATGCCATTGAGCCGGAGCGCTATGAAGGTGAAGTCTTAGATATAAGGCCGAAAAAACAGTAGCTTAAGAGCTATTTTGCACAAAAAGCTTCAGTTGCTCACCGAGGCTTGAGCAGGCAGATGACTGAACCCGTGCAATCAGCGGTATAGGCACCACAATAGCGGGCATGTAGCTGGTACCCGCCGCATCTGAACTGATTCGACCGGCGGTTTTGGCCGTATGGGTATCCCATATAGATGCTTCGTAAGAAGAATCATTCTCCCAGCTCAGGAAACCAAAACAACCGCCGCCGCCGGGTGTGATCGTGCAGCTCAGGCTCCCGCCCTGGGCGACGCGCTTGGTGGAACCTTCAAGCCAGACCAGGTATTTCAAGCCGATCTCGCGAACGCGCTCAGCCAGTAATGGCTGTGTCAGCAAACTCGGCAGGTCAGTGGTGTTCATGGGTGCTGTGCGAGGTTCGAACCAGGGAAACATGGCATCCATAAAATCCTGCTCGCTGATCACCTGAACGCCATTGCTACCGCTGCTCACACTGCGCCCTACGCAGTCGATGAAGTCCAGTTCGGCTTCAGCCTGGCTGGGTCGGTTACGTCTGCCAATAACTACAATGGAGTCACCTTCCTGCATAGCTGTCGGCGTCTGTCGGACCTGCTGCACCGTTGAGGTAACACAGCCGCTTAACAAGACAATAGCAATGAAAGTTGTGCAGATACTCAGTAGTGGCTTCATGCCGGGTCGCCCTCTTGACTGGTTGCAGTGGTTTCCGCATCGCGCTCAACCGCTGGACTGTCATTGGTGGTGACAGGAGCGGGTAGGGATGGCTTGCCCGCCGCGATCCATTTCTGCACGGCAGGTTCACGGGTAAAGTTGATGCTGAAAAATGCCATGGCATCGCGACACGCGGCAATAGCCGCAGCCTGCAGTCCGTTGGACGATGAACCATGATTGTTTTTGCTGGCTTTGCCATAGGCTGGCAGCTTCCAACTGCCTACGACATTGCCCTGGCGATCATACAGTTCAAATTCGTAACGTACCCAGACCTCGTAATAGTCTGAGCGGGTTTGTGCCGGTATGGAAAACTGCACTTCGGTTATGTTGGGTTTCAGCACACCATCCATGGGCGCGGCAATGGTGTTGCCGGAAACGAAAGTGTAGTTTTCAAACAAGCCTGTTGCCAGGTTGGTGAAAAGCTGCGTCTGTGCCTGTCCGATCTGCACCTCCCACGACCCGGATTGGTCAATGGTCTCTTCGTGTGCATAGTTGATCAGAGTGTCATCCAGGAAAATGCCCAGGCTGACTGGTGCTTTTTCGATTACCGGCACGGGAAAAGTTGTTTCGATGGCCAGTTGCTTGGTGCCAGCACAACCACTGAAAACAACCAGACAGACGCACAGGGCTATACCGCTGCGAACGTTGCTCAGACGCCAGCGCCTATTCTGTTTGCTGTTGTATAGATGCCCAGTCATTGATATTCAGCCAGTCCTACAAATGTGCCGTCGTTGCGGAAAGCCAGTTCGCGCATGAGAGCGGCAAATCGATACACGCGCGCATTGGGTTGGTCTAGGTATACCGGAAAACCCACCGCGTGGATACGCACCCGGCGTCTGCCGCTTGCATCAGTAAGGTTAACCCGATCCACTGCTTCAACCACATCTTCGATGGAATTGCCGGTGTAGTCGTCGCCAAATACATAGATGCTGATACGCTTGTCGGGATCATAGTAAGTGTTGATGGCTGCGGTAATCCCCTCAACCGGACTCGAGTTGCTGAAGGGTGCCCAGGTTTGCAGAGTCTGGATAATAGAGTTACGCAGTGCGGGGGTATCTTCGATCCACCGACCTGCATAGCGGGTAAACATATAGTCACCCATATCATTCATCACTTGAATACCTTTCACGCCGGGATAGATTGCCAGTGTCTCGCTGACTTTGCGCACAACCTGTGGCCAGGCAACACTTTGCATACTGCCCGAGGTGTCGATGACAAATATGATGTATTCCGAATCGACGGCGATACCGCCCACCAGCCCCGAGTCGCGTTTGAAATCAAGGCCCAGCAGGCGCTGCATTTCATCTGTCAGCGATTGTTTGGCTGAAGCCAGCTGCAGGTTTTCGGTAGATATCTCCTGTTGAGCTTCAGAGAGATTATCAAACTGGCCGAGTATAATGGCCAGCTGCTGTTGCAGCTCTGCGAGCTGATCCAGTTTCTGCGCAAGATCCGCCTGTTCATCATTAACCTGACGTCGCAGTTCGGTGATCTGTCCGCGAATTTCAAACAGCGCGTTTTCGCGCTGCGCGACCTGCCCCTGCATGTTTATGTTGGATTTTTCCAGCAATACAGGTTGCACTGTCTTGGTGATCATCAAAAGCAGAATGATGGCACCAAACCCGCAGCATATGACGTCAAGAAATGACACACTGAATTCTTCGATACCACGTCGTTGACGCATTATGGCCAATCCCATGACGGTGAAATGAATGCGCCACCGGTGACCCGCGCAACATTCCAGTAAGCGGCAGAAGCCATCGGATCACCTTCCATTGGAAACATGATCACATTTATCGGTATCTGTTTTGGCAAACGATCTACAGCTTCGCCGAATAGCTCCAGACGCCGGCGTCCTGTGACGGTAGCTGAGCGGGGTGCATTTTCTCCCTGAGTCGGTAAGCCATCGGTAATCAGGTAGACGTTATCCGGTATGGGCGAGAGGTTGCGGATCTCCAGAATCAGGTTAACCAGTGAAGAACCACCGTTTGGAATAATCGTGCGTAGCTCTGCAATTGATGCGTTCAGTGCCTGGCCGTCGTACATCGGTTGCCAGTCATCGTCGTTGTCGGCAACCAGTGAGCGTGTCTGCTCGGCGAAGGTGTAAACCTGAAAGTCGGCATCCAGAGGGAGCTGCGCGGCAAGCCATTCGGCGGTACGCACTGCGCGTTGCCACTTCGGCGCCGCCTGTTTGCGTGCGTCATCCATGTTGCGGCGCCGTAATACATTAACGATGGTGTCGTCTAACATGCTTGCCGACGTGTCGATAGCGATAACAATGTTGCGTCCACCAACTTTCAACCCGGTCAGGTACTGACGATCGCCTTCGCCTTCAAAAGAACGTACCTGAGAACCATCGTTTGCCGCCTTGAGCGCCAACAGACGATTGACCTCCGCTTCGCGTGACTCAATGTCCGCGGTCAGCGCTTTGAGGCTCTCGGTTTGAGCGACAGACGCGTCTTCTAATTCTTCCAGGCTTGCTTCCTGGGTTTCGATGGTTTGAGCTGTACTGGCCAGATTTGCATCTGATTGCTCAACCCGGGCTTTTACATCGTCGAGACTTTCGATCAGTTCAAACAGATCCTTTTCGCCCTGTTGCACCTGATAATCAAGCATGCGGATTTCGGCCAGAAGATCGTCGCTGCGCTCGGTGGGTTGGGTCTGTGTGTCGTGGTTGATGATCAGAAATATCAGCACAACGGCACCAAAGCCACAGGACATGACATCAAGAAATGACAGTGAGAATACGTTGATCCGTCGTGAGCGGGCCATGGCAGTTTAGGTAACTCGAATCGCAGTGTACGTCTGGCCGGCAACAGTGACCTGGGTCCCGGCAGCAACTTCGGAACCGTTGTGTACGCCTGCCGCGGTCAGGGTTGGATGATCCAATGGATAAGCCGTATGTTGCAGCAGCCAGTGGGTGGCCAGGGTGTTGGGTGCCAACGCTTGGGTGTGAGGGTTTTCCTGGAAGGCGTCAGCGGCAGATTCGTTTGAGCGGCGAGTGCCAATATTGGCTGCCTGGCTGATTCTTTTCACCTGAGCATCGGATAGCGATGCTGCGAGTTGTTCGTAGTTACCCAGAATGTCGCTTTCCAACACGACACTGCACTGCTGTACGCGCTGCTCCAGCTGTGATTTGAGCGCGGGTATTGATGCAGCCCTTGGCGTCAGCACCAGATGGTCAACTTGGCCCAACTCAACACCGGCAAGCCGCTGAGTGAGTTTTTCCAGGAGTCTGGCGGCTGTTATTTCAACCTCCCGACTGGATTCTCCGTTACTGATGCTAACGACGTGATCCTGCATCTGACTCTCGGTGAGCCAGGGATACACCTGGTCAAAAAGATGCTGCTCTGTCTGTCCGGAATGCAGTGGATCGAAACGTGTTTTCTGTACAAATTCATCAGCTATGACGTTCATCCAGCCTTCTATGATGCTGGCTGTGCCAACGCCATCTATGGCTGTGGTGCGGGTTTGCACGCGGATGCCGTCGCGGATCTGGATTTCTGCCAGGCTTATCCGGTGCTGTTCAACATCCAGGACATGGTAGCCGGTGTCTGCAGGGATACTCAGAGACTGGCCCAGAGCAAGGTCGATAAAGCCTTTGACCGTCAGTTGCGCTTCAGCGCATATGCCGAGTAACAGACCCAGTTGAGCGTTGCTGATCTGCCCTGATACAGCCAGTACAAGCGGCTCGCTTGCCGGTAGATCAAGCTGTAGTAGATGTCGATAAATCAGATCCGCATGATTTTTCGCCAACCCCAGATCACCGGCCACAGGATCTGCAGCGATGGTAGAGAGGTAGCGGTTGTTGAACTGCTGCGGATGCGATCGCGATCGCGCCAGTGCGTCGTCGTCGAATATCAGCCCGTTGGGCGTCTGGGCGGCCGCGCCGGTAAAGGTGCGGGCGGCTTGATGTGGCTGACGGAATGTCAGTTGCCAGTCATTGATATCCAGATACATCATCTAGCCTCGTCTCACCTGCAGATGGCGCAACAGGCGCTGATCACAGTACGTATGGGTGTCGAGGACCAGGCGCTCCTGGATGAGCTGTAACTGGTGCACCAGGAACATCAGTACAATGCTGATCACCAGAGCTATGAAGGTTGAGTTGAACGCCACCCCCAGACTGGTAGTGACGCCGGCGATGTCGCCTTCGACTGCGCGATAGGCCTGTCCCAGCGCTTCACCGATACCGCGAACGGTGCCAATGAAGCCGATGGAAGGAATCGCCCAGGCGATATAGCGCACCATCGACAGTTCGCTGTCGAGTCGGTCAGATTCTGCTTCGCAAACGGACTTCACTGCTTCTGAAACATCCTGCACGTTCCGGGTTGAAGAAAACCGCTGCAGGGCTGCAAGCAGGGTACGCGGCAACAGGCTCTCTCGTGAAGCCTCGGGTAACCCCTGCAAAGGCCGCGTATATTCCCTGGTGTCCTCCGGCAGAATACTCACACCCTCACTGACCTGAATAAAGTTTTCATTCAGGAGGCTGCGTTCCGCAAGTGCTGAACGCGCTTTCAAACCCATGATCGCCATCGCCCAGAACATCAGAATAAAACAGGACTCCTGTTCGTAATCCCGTAGCACAACATAAAGCGAACGGTCCTGAACAAATGGTTCTCCGCTGGCCGCCAGTTCCGCCTGCTGTTGCAGGATTGCATCTGCGTTAGGCCGGATAATGGTGACGTAAACAAGATGCACAATAATCACGGCGATGATCAGCGCGCTGACCTGGTAGATAAGTTCAAATGGTAATTTTTTATTCATGTCGGCTGTCTTGTTTTAATTTTGTATACACGTGCAAGGGTATAAGGGTTTCAGATATCTACTGGAAATGAGACCGCAAAATCTTCTGAAATCTCCTCGCTGGGTCGAAAAATTTCCCGATCACGATCTTTGTCTTTCTGTTGTTCGGCAGAACGCTCTGTGGGCGCGTTTTTTGTGTCTGCTTCTTCGGTCTCTGTCTGTGCCCGAGTGTCGTTGGCGTCAGCTTCAGATTGTTCCTGTGCGAAACTGGCCTGGCTGGCCAGGACAGCAACAAGTATCAGGCTCTTCAACACAGTCCTTCTCATAACGTCTGTCATTCTGCGTACCTTGCGATTCTGAACCCTAAATCCTGGCGGCCGCCAATACCATAGTCACGAAATGAATAACGTAGCTCTGTGATGGTGCCGTGCATCCAGCTGGCGCCTTTGATGACTCGATACTCACCGCTGGCGGGGCCGGCTGGATCAGTGACCGGGTCAGCGCTGGCTATCTCATAGAAATCGTTGGTCCATTCAGCCACGTTGCCGCCCATATCGTAGAGACCGTAGATATTTGATTTGAAGGTGCCTACCGGGCTGGCTGCTGTGTGGTTGTCGTTGTAACCGAAAATAACGCGACCGACCAGGGCGGAGGCCGCGCGATCAGCGTAGTTACCGTGTCGGTCTGGCGGCGGCAGATTGTCGCCCCAGGGGAAGCGTAAAACGTCGGTAGGATCCTGCTTCGTACGAGGCTGGGTTCGTGCAGCCCAGGACCACTCAGCTTCTGTTGGCATGCGATAACCGGTACTGCGCAGATTGACGCCGGTTACTTTGCCAAATTCCATGTTGTAAAACTGCGGCAATCCGTCTTTGTCTGATAACCAGTTACAGTAAGCGGCGGCATCGTTCCAGCTGACAGAGGCAACGGGCATGTCGTCTTCGTTAAGGCTGACCTCTTCGAAAAGTCCAGAGTCATGGCCGCTGGCGAACTGTCGAAATTGCGCGTTGGTGACTTCCTGGGTAGCAAGATAGAACAGGCGTGTCATCTTGACGTCACGCAGGGTTTCATTGGCGCGCCTGCCGGGTTCCCGACGGGAGGCACCCATACGGAACTCAAACGGCTCAAAGAGCTTCAGGTTCTGGCCGGCAGCCGTGGTTATTGATGGCGTTAACGCCGCCAGGCGCGCCTCAGCCAGTGTCAGGAGTCGCACCCTCACTTCCTGGACGAGGCCGGCTTTTGGCGTAATTTCTGTGCTGTAGCCGGCATAGCCATCCAACGATATAGATATATCGTGGGGTTCAACCGGTAGGGTCAGAACCTGGTCTGCCGCGCCCGCAGGTTTGCCGTTGATGGTTAAAAGTGCGCCAGCGGGTTGTGAGCGAACTACAATTTCGCCAGTCTGGCGTACCAGATCGGCATGCACCGAGCGAATGTCCCCACGCTTAAGCTGCAAACTCCGGTTAAAGGTGGCATAACCATTGAGAATGATCTGCAGGTTATGTCGCTGCGCAGACTTCAAGTCGAGCTCCAGCGGAGTTTGCCCCATAAAGCGGCCGTTCACGGTGACACCTGCGCCTTGCGGTCGTGACGTCACTGTGACGGCGGCGTCCGCCTGCTCAAGATCGACCGGGGCAAGTGAAAGTGCAAGACCAGCCTGGGCAAAGATGCGCTCTCGATGAGTTTTGTAGCCTTCCAGGCGAATACTGACCTCTCGCTCGCCCGCCAGCGCTTCGATAGTAGCTGGGGTTTGCAGACCTGTAGGTTGATTGTCGATCCAGATGCTGGCGCCGGCAGGTTGACTTGTGACAGCGACGTCTGCCCAGTTTGGCGCAAGCTCAATGCGCTCGCTCTGCTCGATTTGTTTGCCCTGCATGACCACGGTCAAGGTGTTGGAGATATAGCGGGGGTGGCTGACAGTTATTTCGTGTTGCCCCGCGGCCAGTTCGAGGCGTGGTGTCACCTGTTCAGGCTGACCATTAATTTCTATGCTGGCATCCGCTGGGCTCAGTTGTAGCGTGAGAAAGCCGGGCAGGGGTACAAATTCAAGTGCGATACGCTGATTGCGTTCAGATCCTACACGGATGGCCTCCTGCAGAGGTTCATAAAGTGGTGTTTGTGCTGAAATCTCGTACTTACCCTCGCGCAGAAGATAGACGCCACCTAACTCAAAAGCGAAGCCGCCACTGACGCTGACTTCAGCCGCTTGTGGTTGAAAATCCAGTAACACGCTTTTGGAAGTGAAAAGAAACCAGAATATTGCCACCGCGGTGGCAGCGAACGCGAGCAGCACAATCTGCCATAGTGCCAGGCGAGCTCGCCGGGGTTTGCTGTCGCTGGGCACAAAAACCCGGGGCTCAATGGTTTCTTCGTGCTGGCCGGGTGTGGCGGGATTTTGGTCTTCGATTTTGCTCATCCGGCGCCGGTCATCGATTGATGTTTTCAGTGCAACGTACGTCCAAAGGCTCTATGCCGGGCAGGACTTCTACGGTCAGGAATATGTCCCGACAACCATTCTGACTGCCTCGTATGGTGTAAGCGCCTGGCCGCAAGCTGATTGTTCGGCGTTCAAACAAGCCCAGCTCTCCAACATTAGACATGACAATGTTGGTTGCATTATCCGACAGCAATATAACGTCGACCGGGTCTGCGTAGAGAGACAACAGCTTGTTGACTTCCTGCTGCAGGCGTTGCAGTTCGTCTCCGGCGTACTCAAGTTGTTGTGCCTGTTGAGCGATAGTCTGTGCGTCGAGATACAGCTTCTCGTTTGACAGTTTTGTAGGTTCGTTGACGATCCGGGTCATCAGACGCTGAGCCTTTTCGTGTGCTTTAGCCTGGGCCAGTCCCTGCTTCGCAAACTGGATGTTTTTGTCCAGTTTTAGTACTGATTGATAAGCATCCACGGCTTCAAGCCACTGCTCCTGCGCCATTGCCAGTTCAGCTTTCTTCTGATGCTTGCTGATCACCGCAAGGTCGTACTGTTCAGCAACCTGTTGTAACCCACCTCTGGCAACCGCATTGTCGCTGTCCAGGCTCAGTGCGGCGTTGAAGGCGCTGCGCGCCTGTTCAAATTGCTGCCTTTGTAATGCGGAGAATCCGCGACTGATGTGTGAGGCAACATCATCGCCGGTCTTGGCGGCATTGGCTGCTGCGCGAAGCTCAGGCAGATTCGGGGTGAGCGGATCAAGTCGTCCGATGTCGTTGTAGATTGCCAGGGCTTCATCATAGCGGCCGCCCAACTCATGATTCTTTGCGCTGCGAAGCATGCTGATAATGGCGGGCAAGCCCTGCGCTCGAGCCAGTCCGGTTTTTGCGTCAGCATCGTCGGGTTTAATGGTCAATGCCTGATTGAAAGCGTCCTCTGCAGCAGTTGGATCCAGCGCGAGCAGGGCAGCATCACCGTTGTGTAGAAATTCTCGATGCAACTGGTTGCCCTGAGAAATGACCGCGTCAATGCTGATAACAGCCTGTTGATAGGCGGCCAGCGCGCTGTCGTACGCTTCGTCAACAAAATATCCATCACCTTCTTTAGCCTGCATCATGGCCGCATCCAGTGCATCCGCCCCCCACTGATCCACCTGCATGGTGTCCTCCAGTAGAATTTGACGTTCAACAAATTCAGCCAACGCCTGCTGAACCTTTTCTCTGGCGCGGGCCTGTTGCGCGTCAGCAAATGGCGCTAAAGCGTTGTTGTCTGTTGTCGGCACGGGTGCATTGTCGCTGACACTGCTGGCTGTAGCTGCCTGGGTATTATTGGGTTCGACAATCCGCTGCGGCAACCAGTAGAAAGCCCCGATCAGCACCACAAGGACGACGGCGGCGGTGGTGTAACCCCGCCAGTCCAATAAGCCGAGGACATCCTGCAGGGCATGTTTGTCCTGCTTTTCCTGCAGATGCGACAGCGGCGCCTGACGCGATTCAATAATATCGTCAGATTCTACTGTCATTGTGGAATATCGTTTGCCTGGGGTGGCTCAAGGCCAAGGTCTTCAAAGTAGACGCGCTTCAGAATACGGCGCAGCTCTGTATATTGCTGGTCAACGTTACCCTGCAACCGTAGCGTCTGGTTCTCCAGTTCAATAGTGGTGGGGACCAACTCAGCTTCAGCAGCGCTGCCCAATTCCCTCAATCGGTCAGCCTGTTGCTCTGCTTCGTGTCGCTTCTGTACCGCACTGGTGATCAACGTTGCGCCGGCGACGACTCCGACGATGCCGCTGGCGTCGACGTAGGCGTCACTGCTTTCATACATCGCAGCAACACCGCCGATGATCGCCATGGTGCCACCAATCATCCTTGATCGAGCCTGGGCTCTCAGTTCCTGGTAGGCAATTGCCTGATCGTAACTGGCGCGGCGCCAGTCCTGGTAGGCAGGGTACATCTGTCGATGAAAGTTGGAGTAGTATTCGTCCAGGGTGTCGATAAACAGATACTCGCGTTCCCGTACGCGTCGGACCCGCTCCAGCATGGGGTCGTTTTCTGCCGGCAAGCGGACGATCTCGAACTGTCCGTCCTCATTCTTAACAACATGGTCCGCGAAGGCCTCCTGGGAAAACTCCCGTGCAAATTTCAGCTCGGCGGTTTTACGGATGCGCTCAATGTCGGCCGGGCTCAAACCCTGACGATAGGCCAACATGTCATCCGCCAGATTTTTATACACCGCCTGGAATGCATCAATGCTTTCCGGCATGCCTTCTTCATAAGCGTATTTGCTGGCCAGCGCAGAGTATTCGCGGCTGAACCACTGCTCGCCGGTGGCATCGGATACCGTGGCTTCGATGATCATGCTTTCACCATTGGAATGCACAATGGTGCCGGTCACCATAATGTCAACCGCGTGGGTTGGTCGTGGGACAACCCTTACGGCGCCCCAGTTGCCCGTCGATTGCAGCAGGTTTTTGGCGAAAAAGGGTACGTATTGTGATTCTGCGCGGCGCACTTCCGGCAGGATGATCTCTTCGATCCGTTCGTCATAGTCTTCAGGCACGTTCGCGTCGAAGATGCTGATACCAACGTCCAACAATTCATTTTCGTCGAGATAGCGTTCTGATTGTTCAGGAGGCGTCATGTCAACAATACGCGTTGTATGGTTAACGCAGCCGCCCAGCAGTAGCAGGGCAGGCAGCGCCAACGTCAGTAGCGGGTGCGCCAAAACGTTTACTGACCTGAGGTGGAACATCCTGGATTTATTCATGAAGTCGTGATCCGTTAACCCTTTTTATACTTTCTATATTCATCCCAGAGCTTCTCTTTAAGTTCTGGATCAGTTTCCTGCATGGCGGCTTCACGCAACTGCCTTGCAATGATGTCGTCGTCCCTGGCGTCGGGCAAATTTTCAGGCCCGGATTCGCCGCTGCGGGGTGGCGGGGGTGGTGCCGAGGGAATCTGGCGTCGCGGTGGCAGTGGGCCGCTGGTGCTGGCAACGTCGCCACCACTGCCCTGTCCCTGGCTTTCAGAACCGGAAGGCAGGGTCGATGCGCCACCACCACCTTGCGCATCTCCCGGCTGACTGCTGGAAATAATTTCACGCTCAGCGAGAATCTCACCATCGAAGTCTTTCAGCGCTCCGTCTAATTCATCATCGCCACTGGGTGTTCCGCCGTTTTCTTCGCCAGGTGCGCCAGCCTGACCACTGCCGGCCTCGCCACTTTCACCGTCTGCGCTGCCTGGCGTGCCGGGTATCTCGTTAGATGTTTCCCATCCATCCTCGCCAGTGCCTTGTCCGCCAGGCGAGCCTGGACTTCCCCCTGATTCGGAGCCTTCTTCGCCCTGGGCGCCGCCCTGTTCAACGTCCCAGGTGGGTACCGAAGTTTGACCATCGGGGGAACTGTTGGGATCTGTACTGCCGGGCATGCCGCCGGGTTGTCCTCCGGGCATTTCGCCGCCAGGTAACCCGCCGGAACTGTCAGAAGACGGCTGACCGCCTTGTTGGCCGCCCTGTTCACCGCTGGGTTCACTGCCCGATTGCTCGCCTTGCTGACCGCCTGGTAAAGAAGGTGACCCGCCGGGTAGTGAAGGCGGTGTGCCACTGGGGGTGCTGGGTGCACCACCGGCTGAGGGCGGTTGTGGAATCGGTGCTGGCATGCCTCCGGGCAGTGGTGTAATTGGCGCACAGCCCGCCAGGGCCACCGCGCTGCATGCAAAAGCGATAAGTAGATTGTTGCGTTTCATGATTCTTCTGTTGGCGTTGGTGAGGCGGGATTAATCACAGCCGCGGTAGGATCCAGTTTCGGAAAATACCGGAATTCGTGGGTATAAGTCTGCGCCTCTGCCACCACCGGCAGACCATCTATCAGCTGCGGTCTGAAAACAGCAAGTCTCATACTGCGCCGGACCCGGAAGTCCATCAGCTTTTCGGGCTGGCTGTCGACGGTCACCAGTTTGCGTATCCGTCCGGTTGGTGCCACATCAAAGGACAGGGTAACCAGGCCGTCCGCTGGTTCTGCACGCATATCCGCTGGAGGGGGACGGGGGTTTTCGGGCATTGGCAGATAGATGAGCGTTGGTTGCGCAAAAAAAGAGGCCGCATCAGCGCCGGAATCCAGCATCTGTCTGTACACATCCGAATAGAGTGTGTTTGCCATATTGCTGCGGCCAAAGATGAGGTGCCAGTCGGCGAGCTCAATAATGGCTTTGAGGGTCTCCGCTCGATTTTCGGGTTCCTGGCGCCGGTGTATCTCAATGATCTGTTGCAGGGCTTTTTCGCCTGCAGGGAAATTATTGAAAACCATTTGTTGCCGATCAAATTCTGGTGATCGTAGTCCCGGGGTAGGGCCGTCTAAACTACTTTGATCCGGATTGGCGATATAAATTGGCGGAAACCGTTCCAGGCGATGAGAAATTGCAATACCACGAAGTGCGGGTATCGCTTCGAGTGAGAAATCAGTCTGGTTGCTGCTGTGCACGTTCATCGCTGCGTTGTAAATGGCCCGCGCAGACAGATAATTAAACGTATTTAAATAGAAATCGCCTAACCGCATCAGCCCTGGCAGGGTCGCTGGGTCATAATTCGGATAAGCCTTGCGCATTACCTCATAGGCATACTCTTCACGCTTCGCTGCGGACTGAAGATCGCCGGCTGCGATCAGAACGTCTGCTTCTCGATACACCACAGCCAGCTGGCGGGTATCAAACAAACCATGGCTGACGCGTGCCACATGGCGGGCACGTGTGTAAAGGTCCAAGGCAGCATCAAAATCCTGTTGGGCCATTCTGGCGTCGCCCAGCAAAGTTAACGGAACGATCAGATCTTCATGGTAGCGATGATGGATAGCTTCGATCTGGTTCACCGTATTCTCCAGCACGTCCGCTGCATCATCAGCTTCACCGCTGGCGATCTGCTGGCTCAGGAACCCATAAGCGGTGTCGTCAGCGGAGCCTGGTTCAATCAGGGCGGGCATCGCAGGACTGTCAGACACGTAGGAAGCGGGCGCACGCTCAGCGTAGCTGAAGCTGGCCATTGACCAGCTCAGGAGTCCCAGCAGACAGGCTTTAGAAGGATACAGGTTCATCTTGATATAGGTTTTTCCGGGCGATCTCACAAGTGACTACGTCTGGCTTTCCTTTGGACCACAACCTGTCGATTCAGTTCGAGTCTGGTGAGCCTGTGGCAACCTGTCAAGGGTTGTGCAAAGACCTCCACATGGGTGTGCTTCTGTCTTAACATGCACAGCTGCCACATGCTCAGGAACTGTAATTGGACAGTCATATCGAACTCGACACGCAAGGGTTGTTATGCCCGGAACCGCTTATGCTGCTCCGCAATCGCGTTCGCGAAATGCAGGACGGCGAAATAGTGCATATATTAGCAACGGACCCGTCAACGCACCGTGATTTTGCGAATTTCTGCCGGTTTATGGGCCATGAACTGATGTGTGCCCAGACGGAGACAGAAGTGCTGCAGTTCTGGATCAAAAAAAACGCCTCATGACGCAACAGGCAGTGAGACATTATTTTGCTTATGGTTCGAACATGAATCCCGCACGGGTCGCCGACCGAGGCTTGTCTGTGCTGGGTGCTCAGGCTGGTGTTCTAAAAGGGTTCCGCTTGTTGTTCAACAAGATGTCCAGGGACCATAACGGCGTAGGCCATGCGAATATTGAATTCGATCGGCACAGTGTTGTTGAAGGCGTGTTGTACGAACTCGCCCACCCAGATGACATATTGAAGATGGACCCGTTTGAGCGCGCCCCGTGGAATTACGGGCGCGAAGTTGTAGCCATCCGGCAGGGCCAGAATACAACCTGGGCATGGACCTATTTTGCCAACCCGGCCGTGAAAATCGCTGGTCTGCGGCCACCAAGAGCTTACATGGCGCATCTTCTGGCCGGCGAAGTGTACTTAAGCCAGGGTTATCTGCAGCAACTGCACGGACATCCGCTGCATGACTGATTTAGACATTGTGGCTGTATTCACTCGATGTTTTCACCGGTCGCACGCAACGCAATTGGTTGGTGGTGCGGCTGAACCGCTTTATCAACCGGCTGAAGCTGAACACGAGACCCATCGGTTATATTATCGAGAAAATTTTGCCGCAAGCGCGTTGCATGAAACGGCCCACTGGTGTGTGGCAGGTTCTGCACGCAGAACCCAGGTGGACTTTGGCTATGTCTATATAGAGCCACCCCGAACGCCTGCGGCACAGGCGGCCTTTTTTGCCGCAGAGTTGAAGGTGCAGGGTCTTGAGGCGCTGTTCTGTGCTGCGGCGGGGCTTGAGTTTGTGCCCAGCGCAGACCAGATAGGGGTTGATTTGAATGAATTCCGCCAGCAGTTGGCAGAACATCGCAGTCAGGTAAGGCAGTGGATGCACAATAGTAGCGACCAGCGTGCCCACCAGTTCGAACAGGCCCTGCGCCGCGCCTGTTCGCCGCGGAGGTCTGCCGTTGGATAAAGTAGAATGTGTTGTGGTGGGCGCTGGCGTTGTCGGTTTAGCCGTAGCTGCTGAACTGGCGCGGGCAGGCCGCGAGGTTGTTGTGCTGGAACAGCACGATTGTATTGGCAGTGAAACCAGTTCGCGCAATTCTGAAGTCATTCATGCAGGCATCTATTACCCGCAGGGATCCCGTAAAGCGGATCTCTGTGTGCGTGGCAAACAGCTGTTGTACCGCCACTGCGATCAGTTTGACGTGCCTTACAAGCAGTGTGGCAAAGTCATTGTTGCTGCAGACCAGACACAGATAGATACGGTGCAAGGGTATATCGACAAGGCAGCTGCCAATGGCGTGGATGATCTGTCCTGGTTGTCTGCGGCTGAGCTGGCAGAGCTTGAACCAGAAGTTGCCTGTGTTGGTGGGGTTTTATCCCCTTCAACCGGGATCATCGATTCCCATGCGTACATGTTGTCTCTGCAGGGCGAACTGGAACGCTGCGGGGGCATGATTGCGTTTCAAACCCCAGTCCTTGAAGTGCGAAGACCGCGTGCGCCGGCACAACAACAGACATCCTCACAGGCCCTGCAGGTAATAACTGCGGATTTTGAGCTGCAGGCAGACTGGTTTATCAACTGTGCCGGACTGCATGCACCAGGTTTGGCGGCAGGCACACCGAACGCCCCCAGGGCTTATTACGCCAAAGGCCACTACTACGCTTATAGCGGCCGGCAACCTTTCTCGCGTTTGGTCTACCCGGTTGCGCAGACGGGCGGGCTGGGTGTGCACGTGACTCTGGATCTGGCCGGACAGATAAAGTTTGGTCCTGATGTGCGCTGGATAGATACGCTGGATTACAGCTTTGATGAAAGTCATTTTGACGATTTTGTCACGGCCATTCGCAGCTACTACCCAACGCTGGACGAACAACGCCTGCATCCAAGCTATACCGGCATCAGACCCAAAATTGCACCGCCAGAAGGCGGCTTCCAGGATTTTCGTATTGAAGGCCCCCGGACCCATGGTGTGTCAGGCTGGATTAATCTGTTGGGTATTGAATCTCCGGGTTTGACCGCTTCTCTGGCGATTGCCCAGGAGGTCGCATCTCAAGTCCAATGAACGCCTTGCGCGTCGGTTTACTGGTCAATCCAATTGCAGGCATCGGCGGTAGCGTTGGATTGAAAGGCAGCGACGGCGCGGACCTTCAGGCGCAAGCGAAACAGCGCGGTGGCGTTCCTCAGGCACCACAACGGTGTGCGGATTTCCTGATGCATCTGCAGACGGCACTACCGGAAGATAAACGGGTCATGTGGGTTACGGGCCCAGGTCCGCTGGGTGAAACGCTGCTTTGCCAGGCTGGCTTGCCCTACGAAACATTGCCATGTGCTGTGGGTGAGCAGACGACTGCAGCTGATCTGCGCGCCTGCGCAGAGATGTTGGTCGGCAATGTGGACTTACTTGTTTTTATTGGCGGAGATGGCACCGCGCGGGATGTTCTGCATGCGGTTGGCGATAAGGTGCCCGTGCTGGGTGTGCCTGCGGGGGTGAAAATGCACAGTGGCGTGTTTGCAGTGTCCTCGCGTACAGCCGCGCTACTGCTGGCGCAACTGGTAACTGGGGGGCTGGTAGCACCCGTACTTCGGACAGTTCGTGATTACGATGATCAGGGTGGCGAAACGGAAATACGGCTGCGTACTTACGGGGAGTTGCGGGTACCCGAAGCGGGTGGCTACCTGCAGCAGACTAAAATCGGCGGTAAGGAAAGTGAGCCTCTGGCTGTAGAGGACATTGTGGCTCATGTTGTGGCAGAACTGCTGCCCGGATTGCCTGTGGACTGCGATCTGGTGCTGGGGCCCGGAAGTACCTGTATGGCGATAAAACAAGCGCTCAGCAAAACCCCTCATAAACCTGATCAGCTCACCCTGCGTGGCGTGGATGTTTATACCCATGAGGGCCAGTGGTTGACGGATGTCGGAGCGGATGTCTTGCAGTCGCTGGCGGTGAAACACCTGATAGTCAGTTTCACTCGCGGCCAGGGATTTTTATTCGGGCGTGGCAATCAACAGATATCTGCAATGTTTCTGCAGCAGCTGCACTGGCCCCAGGATGTCACCATTGTAGGTACACGTACCAAGCTGGCCAGCCTCGAACAGCGGCCGCTGCTGCTGGATACGGGTGACCATTTCCTGGATCATCAGTTGAGTGGCCTGGTTGAAATTGTCACCGGCTATCAGGACTGCCTCCTTTACCGTCTGGCCAATCAACTTGAATAACCTACAACGGGTCGCTGATGTCTGTGCAGAGAAGCTCAATCTGGATCATTCCGGAAACGCAAGGCGACTGTTTCATGGTCGAGGCCATACGTTCCCAGGTTTAGAACATGTTGTGGTGACTTATTACCCACCTTATATTCATATCGCTTTGTATGATGAAGTGGATCAGTCAGCTTTGGATCAGTTGGTGGCTGTGCTGGTTAACAGCGGCCACACTATTGACGGTGTTGTGGTGCAACATCGTTCCGGTCGTAATACGCAAACCGAGGTTGTCCTCGGTCAGGTACCCGGGGAACACCTGGTAAAAGAAGATGGCCTGTCGTTCTGGATAGCACCGACGCGCAATCAGAATACGGGTCTGTTTCTTGATATGGGCCATGTGCGCAAAGCGCTGCAGACATCCATGCCTGATGCAAAAGTGCTGAATCTGTTCGCTTATACCTGTGCGTTTTCAGTTTCAGCTCTAGCCCACGGGGCGCAGCTGGTTGTCAACAACGACATGAACGCCAACATGTTGAATATCGGTCGACGTAATCATCAGGCCAACCAGCAGGATATGCGGCAGGTGAAAATGCTGGCGCACAATGTGCTTAAGGCGTGGAAGAAGATCAGGATGTATGGGCCTTATGATGTTGTCATCATTGACCCACCCACCAATCAACGTGGCAGTTTTGTTGCAGAAAAGCACTATGCGCAGATATTGAAACGTATTCCGGAGTTTGCGGCTCCGGGTGCTCGTATAATCGCTTGTTTGAATTCACCGTTCTTAAACGCTGATTTCCTGGTGAACCAGATGTCCAGGTGGGCGCCAGCCTGCAAACACCAGGCAACCTTTGCCGCTCACCCTGACTTCCCGGAAGCTTATTCCGACCGTGGTCTGAAAGTGCTCGACTATCGCTATCAGCCTTGAGCCATGCGATGTAGCAGGGGTGTGAAAGCGGCTTGTACTTCTACCGAAGCCCGGCTTTTTAACGCCTGGCTCAAGCGATAAATAACGGTTGCGTGTTCAGCTTTGATGCTGGGTGGCAAATCAGAATCTTCTTCTTCCGCAATTTCCGGCGCAGGGGTTAACAAGGCTGTAAAACAGCGGCCTGACAGGACAACCTGGTCTATGGCTTCCTGTCGAATGGTCTCCTTGTAGCGGATATAACCTTCTTCAGCGAGCCACAGCAGCGTTGCAAAACAGGCCAGGTGACGATGGCTGTGTACGCCATACTCATCCGGCTCGTCGGGACCGCAGATATCTTCTACAAAAATTGTAACCGGACGCGGGAAAACACCGTAGAGGCTGACAATGATTTGCGCCGCATCAGCATAGAATTCATCAATGTGAATGCCGGCCATTATTGTCGGTAGTTGCCCAGGAACCGCCCGATACGACCAATAGCTTCATTAAGATCTTTTTCATAAGGTAAAAAGACAATCCGAAAATGGTCTGGTTCAGGCCAGTTGAAGCCACTGCCTTGAACAACAAGCACTTTTTCCTGCTGCAGCAGGTCAAGAACGAACCGCTCATCGTCTTTGATGTTGAATTTTTTCACATCAAGTTTTGGAAACAGGTACAGCGCACCTTTCGGTTTCACACAGGTGATGCCGTCGATTTCGTTGAGTTTTTCCCATGCAACCAGACGCTGCTCGTACAGGCGTCCACCGGGTGCGGTTAACGTCTTGATGCTCTGGAAACCGCCTAAAGCAGTTTGTATAGCGTGTTGTGTGGGAACGTTTGAGCATAAACGCATCGACGAGAGAATCTCGAGACCCTCGATATAATCCTGAGCACGAGATTTTGCGCCACTGACAATCAGCCAACCTGTTCGAAAACCGGCTACCCGGTAGGATTTTGACAGGCCAGACAGCGTCAGCATCAGCAGATCATCTGTCAGCGAGGCCATGGCGATATATTCGGCGTCGTCGTAAACAATTTTGTCGTAGATTTCGTCCGCCATCACAACCAGGTCAAACTCTTTGGCGATGTTGATCAGACCCTGCAACACTTCACGCGAGTAAACCGCGCCTGTCGGGTTGTTGGGATTAATCACCACCATGGCTTTGGTCTTTGAGGTTATTTTGCTGCGGATGTCAGCAAGATCAGGCTGCCAGTCTGCTGTTTCATCGCAAAGGTAGTGAACCGGCTTGCCGCCACATAAATTAACCGCGGCGCTCCACAACGGGAAATCCGGCGCAGGAATGAGGATCTCATCGCCATCGTTAACCAGGGCCTGCATGGCCATGACCACTAATTCGGAAACACCATTGCCGATATAAATATCTTCGATATCGACATCTTTGATGCCAATCTGCTGGCTGTATTGCATGACCGCTTTGCGGGCAGAATAGATGCCTTTGGAATCGCTGTAACCCTGGGAAGCAGGGATATTGCGGATTACATCACGGAGGATCTCTTCCGGTGCATCAAAACCCCATGGCGCCGGGTTGCCAATGTTGAGTTTTAATACTTTGTGACCTTCCTGCTCAAGGCGTGATGCTTCTTTGAGCACCGGCCCTCGTATGTCGTAGCAGACCTCTTCCAGCTTGGTCGACTTTCTGATCAAGCGCGTTGGGCTGGGTGTAATGGGGGTGACCTTATCCAAACTCATATCGAATTCCATAACGCTCCGGCTTACCCGCCGGATGTGGGTATAATTACCGCCTGCACCCGTTCCTTTGGGCGCACGCGCACACTATCATAACATCCATAATTGCAGTGTAGTTTAGGAGGAGAAGATGGCTAAAGTGGTTAAAACTGACGACGAATGGCGTCAGGAGCTCAGCCCGGAAGAGTTTGAGATAACTCGACGTGCTGGTACGGAACGCGCCTTTACCGGTGTGTATAACGACACTAAAACTCCCGGGCTGTACAACTGTAGATGTTGTGACACGCCGTTGTTCGATTCGGCCACCAAGTACGATTCAGGCAGTGGCTGGCCAAGTTTTTATGCACCCATCGATGGTGACGTTGTTACCACCCATGAAGACGTCAGTATGGGCATGCGCCGTATCGAAGTGAACTGTGCCACGTGTGATGCCCATCTGGGCCATGTCTTTCCAGATGGCCCTGAACCTACCGGGTTGCGATTCTGTATGAATTCAGCATCGTTGAAGCTTGATCCAAATGACGCAGACAGTGACGCTGAGTAAGAGGAGTACTTATGAATCCCGCTGATATAGCCGCCAGGACACCGGATAAAACCGCCTACATAATTGCTGAAACTGGCGAAGTGGTAACTTACGCAGAGTTAGAAGCCAAAGCCAATCAGGCCGCGCACCTGTTCCGCTCGCTGGGTCTGCAGCGTGGCGACCACATCGCGTTGCTGCTTGAAAATCACGTCAGTTTTTACCAGATCTGCTGGGCTGCGCAACGGGCGGGCTTGTATTACACAGCCATCAGCTGGCGATTGCAGCCGGCGGAAGTGGAGTACATCGTCAGCAACTGCGAAGCAAAAGTATTCATTACTTCGGCGGCGCGCAAAGATGTTGCACAACCGTTGATAGAAGCCTTGCCGGACCTGCAGGCGCGTTACATGCTCGATGGCACGATTGCAGGCTTTGAGTCTTTTGAAGAGGCAATTGCCAGTCAGCCAACCACACCTATTGCTGACCAGAGCGAAGGTGCATCGATGTTGTATTCCTCGGGTACCACAGGTTACCCAAAAGGCGTCAAAAGGCCGCTCCCGGAAGAACCCTACGGCACCGTGGAAGGGTTGCCGGTGATGACGGCATTGTATGGCGCAACCCAGGATTCTATTTACCTGTCACCCGCGCCGCTTTATCACGCTGCGCCTCTGGGCTTCACCATGACGTGTCTACGCAACGGCATACCGGTGGTTGTCATGCAGCATTTTGAAGCAGAGTACGCGTTAGAGTGTATTGAAACTTATAAAATCACCCACAGTCAGTGGGTGCCGACCATGTTTGTACGCATGTTAAAGCTGCCTGAAGAAGTGCGGTTGAAATATGACGTTTCGTCACTGCAATGCGCCATCCACGCCGCGGCACCCTGTCCCATCCCTATCAAGGAACGCATGATTGAATGGTGGGGGCCGGTGATCTATGAATATTATGCCGGTACTGAAGGTAACGGTTTTGTACAACTGAACTCTGAAGAGTGGTTGGCGCACAAAGGCTCCGTAGGTAAACCGCTGAATTGCGAAATTCATGTTTGTGACGATGAGGGCAACGATGTCCCTGCAGGAGAATCGGGCACGATCTACTTCGCCGGGGGCGGAGAGTTTGAGTACTACAAAGACAAAGATAAAACGGCTGATTCGAGACACACAAAAGGTTGGAGCACGTTAGGCGACGTAGGCTATCTGGACGAAGATGGCTATCTGTACCTCACCGATCGCAAACATTTCATGATCATTTCTGGCGGCGTTAACATCTATCCGCAGGAAGCGGAGAACGTGTTGATCAATCACGACAAGGTGATCGACGTAGCCGTATTTGGGGTACCGAACCCGGACTTCGGAGAAGAGGTGAAAGCGGTGGTGCAGCTGGCTGATATGAACGAAGCCAGCGCCGTGCTGGAAATTGAACTAATGGACTACTGTCGTGACCATCTGTCTCACGTGAAGTGTCCTCGAAGCATTGATTTTCGGCCGGAGTTACCGCGGCATCCGACCGGTAAACTGTATAAGCGGTTACTGAAAGACGAGTATTGGGCGGCTGCAGGCAAGTAGACATTTTACCGCAAGGCGGATGCTTACTTTTCTTTCAACAAGTTCGCAGGAGAAAACTGGTCGGTCAGAACACGTGTTCTGGCCCGCCAATCCGGTGCGTCGTCCATTTGCTCAGCAATGATCTTTGCATAACGTTTGATGGGTACTGAATAGGGACGCAGAGGAGCTGCCAGCAATTCAGCGCGTGAGCTCAGATCATCTTCTGACAAATTCTCGCCTGGCACGATAATGACACGATTAGCGCTTTCGGGAACTCGGAAGTTAATGAAGTCACCGAAGACGCTGGCGTACGTCGCCGATTCCGCATGATAGAGATCGCTCTGCGCAAAAGTATTAGCAATCAACGTGCCCTTCGGGCTCAGTAACTGTCTGTTTTCTTCCAGATATTCCATGGTCATTAAGTGTTCCGGTATGTACTCGCCATTAAATGCGTCCAGGATAATCAAATCGTAACGCCGCTCGCGTGTTAGAGCCCGTTTCGTCCACACCCTTGCATCGGTTGTATACACTTTGAGGTTATCAGCGGGGCGGAAACCAAAAAATTCTTCAGCCACTTTCACTACAGCAGGGTCTATCTCGACTGTGTCAATATGCGCGTCGGGGTAAAGCTGATGGAAAGCGGTTGGCAAGGTACCACCACCCAGCCCGATAACCAGGATGTTGCTGGGCTGCTGGACATATAACAGGCTGGCCATGCTCATTCGAGTATAGGAAAACACCATTTCTTTAGGGCGTCTTGGATCGATGCAGCTTTGATTTCGCTGGTCGCTACGGACGTTGAATTGCAGACATATCGTGTTGCCGATTTTTTTGACAATCAGCTGGCTGTACAGCGACCGTTCTTCGTGAAGAATTTTTGCGTAGGCGGGCGCATAAAGTACACCACTGATCCATGCGCTTAATGCAATTATGACAAGACGTCGGTTCACGTGTTTTGTGCTCCCATACCTTTGCGGTGGCAGATAACTGCAATGATAGACATGCTGATCAGGGCAAGCGTCAACATCATGAGAATGCTGTTCACTTCAAAAAGCAGGACAAAATAGAATGATGTGAATAGCGTGCCTAACGCGCTACCTAAGGTCGAAACAAAATACAACCGCCCGGCAACCTGACCTGAACTCTCGACATTTCGGACAAGCAAGCGAACGGAGTAAGGGGAGATCATGCCGAGGATAACGGTGGGTACCGTGAAGAGAATTGTCGACGCTAACAGAGAACCGTAGCGCGGGTCTTCGATCGCGCTAAATATCCATTGCATGGTCGGTTCTGCGAACAACACAACGGGATACATCAACAGCGCCCCAAAGAAAAAAATGCTGCCATAGCGCAATAGATTGGGTTGATTCACCGACCAGCGGCCACCAATCAGATAACCCAGTGACAGCGACAACATGAAGACAGTAATGATGCTGCCCCAAACGTGAGAACTACTGCCAAAGTAGGGTGCAAGGACACGTCCACCGAGTAACTCCATCGACATGATGACAAAGCCGCCAGTAAAAGCGAGCAGATAGATGAGGGCGTTCATGAACCGTGCTCAGCCGCGAGGCGTGACATCTTCGGTTGGGGCGCCAGCATCTTTCCAGCCGCGAAAGCCTTCACCGATATGGGTGACGTTTTCGAGCCCCATATCCTGAACAGCCTTGGTGGCCAGAGCAGAACGCCAGCCGCTCTGGCAATAGAACACAAACTTAGCATCCGAGCCGAAAACCTCTTTGTAATACGGTGAGGTGGGGTCCACCCAGAATTCCAGCATACCGCGAGGCGCATGCACCGCGCCGGGCACCTTACCTTCGCGTTCCAGTTCGCGCGGGTCGCGGATATCTACAAATACGATGTCTTCCTGATCGAGCAGGGCAACAGCATCGTCAATGTCGAGGGTGTCTACTTCTGCAAGGGCGGCAGCAATCAGATCCTTATGTGTGACCTTCAGCACGTTATGACTCCTAGTTACTCAGTTAATCGGTTTTTGCCACTTCTGTGACGTTTTGCGACACCCGGGCAGTGCCGGAGGTGTCATAAAAAATAAAAAATATATCTAATAAAATCAATCGGTTAGAAATATTTACGCCTCTGGCACTAAATTTGTATTAAAGCCATGACGAGATAGGTCGATGACTTAATACACAAGCTTATGCAGACGCGGAGATAACTCAATGGGACGATCACGATATTACAGTGGGCAATTTGCAGTCACGCCGGACCTGTTGCACGTGACCGTTCCGCAGACCGAAATTGTGACTGAAATGTCCAAGCGCGGCGAAACGGAAACGCTCAACGATATCTGTCTCGCGGTTGCCGTAGTCGCCGATGCCATTGTTGCCGCTCAGGCATTGGTGGTTAATTCCTAACGTCCCTGCCAGTTGGGCGGGCGTTTCTCAGCAAACGCTTTTGGTCCCTCGATGAAATCTTCACTGGTGACCATGCTCTGTACCGAATCATACTTAGCCTTCATGGATGCCTCTAAAGAAGGGTTGTCGAGACTTCGATAAACCACATCTTTGCTTGCCCGGATCGACAGCGGTGCACACTCCGTAATCATATTCGCCCAGCGTAGCGCAGCCGACATGAGCTCATCATGAGGCACAACTTCATTCACGAAACCCAGTTTTTCGCCTTCTTCTGCGGCAACGTGGCGACCGGTCAGAATCATGCCCAGGGCACGTTTTGGTCCTATCTGTCGAGGCAGTCGATTCAGGCCGCCGGCCAGTGCAGCGAGGCCAACTTTGGGCTCAGGCAGCGCAAAACGGGCTTTGTCCGAAGCAATGATCAGGTCACATGCCAGCGCAATTTCGAATCCGCCGCCCATGGCGACACCGTTAACTGCGGCGATGACCGGTTTGCTCAGATCAAATCGAGAAGTTAAGCCGCCAAAACCGCGCGGCATGGGCACGCGTTCACCGCCTTCCGCCTGGTAGCGTAAGTCGTTACCCGCGCTGAAACCGCGGCCCTCGCCAGTGATGATCGCCACCCACATGTCACTATCCGCAGCAAAATCATCAAATACTTCGCCGAGTTCAGCGTTGGCTGGTGGATGCAGTGCATTCAGTCGATCAGGTCGATTCAAGCGCACGGTCATTATGTGATTGGATTTATCTACGATGCAGAATTCGGTCATGTCCCCTCCAGGCGTTGGTTTTGCTTACTTTACCCCGGCAGCCTAGAGATGTGCAGACTCATTGAACCGATGTACTACCGGTTCTGGAGTCAGGACCATTTCGGAAAGGCTGCAATTGTTGAAGTGGTAGTTGATCCAGCGTGACGGTGAGGCTTCCAGAAAAACCGCCAGAGCCACAGCTAAAGCCACACCATGGCTGACCACAAGTATTGTTTCATCTGGTTCGTGTTGCTGGTCTATCTGCAGCATCGCTTCAGTGACCCGCTGGGCAACAACCGCCAGGCTTTCACCGCCGGGTGCTGTGTAGTGAATGTCGGTGGTTGAACGATTGATGAAATCGTGGTGTTCACTGAGTTCTTTGAAAGAAGTGTCTTCCCATTCGCCGATAGACATTTCGGCTAACCCCGCGATGGGCTGCACCGTCAGGTTAGTTCCGGCACTGGCAAATTTAGCCGTGTCCATGCAGCGTTGCAGGGGAGATGAATAAACCGCGTGGATTTTTTCATTGGCTAACAGGTGACGCCCGGTGCGTTTCGCCTGGCGCCTGCCAGTCCAGGTCAACGGGCTGTCGGTAGAGCCGTGCCAGCGGCCGTCTCTGTTGGCTTTGATAAGACCATGACGTAGCAGTAACAAGCGTGTGCTCACCGTCGGTTAACTCCAGCGTTGCGCAATGATGGCGCCAATCAGATCGCCTTCAACATTCACGGCGGTGCGGAAGGTGTCCAGCGGTCGTTCAATCAGTAACAGCAAACCGATCGCCTCCAGGGGAATGCCAACCGCCAGCAGTACAACCTGCAGACCTGCCATGGACCCCGACGGTATGCCTGGCGCACCGGCAGAGGCCAGCATGGTGATCAGAAACACCATCACAACGCTGCCTGCGTCGATGGGTACGCTGAACATATAGGCCAGGAAAATCACCGCGATGCCTTCAAACAGCGCGGTGCCATCCATGTTGATGGTGGCGCCCAGAGGCAATACAAAGGCAGCCTTGCTGCGCTCGACGCCGAGTTTTTCCTCTGCAGTGGTCATGGACAGAGGCAGGGTGGCGGCGCTGGAGGAGGTGATAAACGCGGTAAGCATGGGTTGCGCCAACGCTTTGGCCAGCCTGATAGGGGAAACATTGCCAAACACCCAGGCAATGGTTGGCAGGATCACCAGCCCATGCAGAGCGGTAGCGCCAAACACCACCAGCGCAAACTGACCCAGTGATGTCAGTGTTGCCAGATCAATCCTGCCGGTCAACTGGAAGGTGATGGCAAACATACCGATCGGCAGGGTGGTTAATACCCAGCGGGCGCAGGTGTAGACAACTTTTGTCATCTCATCCAGCATCTTCGGCCAATGTGAATCTTCGGGCAGCGTAAACGCTGCCGCGAGGCCAAAAATGAGCGCGGTCGTCAGCACACCTAAAATGTTGATTTCTGCCAGAGCCGTAAACGGATTGACCAGCATGGATTGCAGCAGGTTGCCGATCAGCGCCATAGCGCCGCCCTGGTCCTGAGCGATTAAGCCGCTGGTCATTTCCGGTAAATCGGCCAGGGGCGGGTAGGCGGTCCAGGGGTGGATGAAAAATACCACGGTCAGGCCGATGCCGATGGCGATGGCGGAGGTTGCGCTGTAATACAACACAGTGACGCCGCCAAGTCGGCCCATTGATCGAGTACCACGCAGCTGCAGTACCCCTGTCAGCAGAGAGAAAAAGATTAATGGCACGATGATCATGCGTAATGCCGCGAGGAAGCTGTTCTGCAGGATCGCTGTGGTGGTCTGCAACCAGCCGACATCGCCAAACAGCGTGGCCATCAGCCAGCCCAGAACGGCCGCAGCAATTAACAGCGGGGCAAACCAGCGTGAAGACATCTAGATGGTCAGATTCACAAAATGACCTGGTTGCAGCGCGGGTCGACGCAGTGCCTGATAGGCGAGCGGTCGCGCGCAGGCACCGGGTCTGGGTGCCTTTACGGTGCGCATACCCAACGCCGGCGTGACGTGTAACCCACTTCGCGCAGCGTGCTTGTCTGAATGCACGGGTCGTGTTCTCCTTGGTCAGCCGCATAATACTTAGTTACGCGGCAATTTTTTATATAACGCAGTATTGTGCCCATCTGCGACGTTAAAACCAGTCGCGATCTGAGCTTTTCTCGCTGGGTTTGTGAGATTTTGTTGTGACGTTACCTTTTGATTGCTCTGGATCGGCAAACCGCCGTCAAAAAACTGGCGCCAGCCGCTGGATATTGCTTTTTTTGTTGAGCTTGTCAGTCGCTTGCAGCAAACAACCACAAAGCGGCCAGTTCAGCGGCCCCACAATGGGCACAATGTACGCCATACAGTGGCACGATGTTAAAAACAGCCAGAGTTGTCAGGTCAAACAGGTGGAGGTGGCGGACCTGCTGCTGCAGATCAATGCGGCGATGTCGACTTATCTGCCGGATTCCGAACTCTCCAGAGTGAATCAAACCGGAGCTGGGGTCTGGGTCGACTTGTCACCTGAGCTGGCCGAGGTTATCAGCGTTGCACAGAAGATCTGGCAGCAATCTGCTGGCGCTTTTGACGTCACAGTTGGTCCGCTGGTTAATCTGTGGGGATTTGGTCCAGATACCGGAGTTATTCGCCCCAGCCTGGCTCAGCAGCAACGGGCCGGGGAGTATGTCGGCATGGATAAACTGGAATTTAACGGCTCGCGCCTGCGTAAGCAGCATGCCGACCTTTATATTGATCTTTCAGCCTTAGCCAAAGGCTATGCGGTTGATCGGCTGGCGCAACTTATGAGCCAGAGGGGTTGTGAGCAGTTTATGGTAGATATTGGTGGTGAGATTCGCACAAAGGGGATAAATCGCCATGGCAAGCCCTGGCAGATTGGTGTCGAGGTGCCTGACTCTAATCAGCTGGGTACGCTGCAGACCGTGCTTGCTTTATCAGACCTCAGTATTGCAACCTCAGGTGACTATCGAAATTTCCGACTTGTCGACGGCGTCAGGGTCGATCATGTTATTGATCCGAGAACGAGGATGCCTGCTGCAAGTACGGTGGTCAGCGCCACGGTTCTGCACCCGTCTACGATGTGGGCGGATGCTTATGCCACCGTCCTGATGGTTCTGGGTGTAGAAGAGGGGTTGGCATTTGCCAGCGAGCAGGGGTTTCCTGCTTATGTGATGTATCGGACCTCAACGCCTGATGATGCACAGACATTCGGCTTCGCGGCGCGCTACAATAAACAAATGGCTGGGTATTTACCGGCTGAAGAGTAAATTTTTCTGCAACTGGAAAGTAATCAGATGTCCACAATGATTCTTGCGTTTGTTTTTATGCTGCTGATGGTCGCGGCTATGGCTGTCGGCGTACTGATGGGCCGTAAACCTATCAGCGGTACCTGTGGGGGTATGAAAGCGCTGGGTATGGACATGGATTGCGAAATCTGTGGTGGCAATCCGGCGTTGTGCGATACAGATGAAATACCCGCCGCAACGCCTGCTCTGTCCAGAAAAGTTGACTCAAGTCTCACCAGAAACGTGGGTCCCAAATAATCCACCGGTAAGTTCAGGATCCGTGACTATGCTTAAGGGTAAGCAATTGCCCCCGAGAAAGTTATGTCACACGGCCAAACAGATGCCACCCCGGATTCTCTGGCAGCGCGCTTTCAAGCCGAATTAGAAAGTCGTTCCCTGGATGTGCCGCTGCTGCCTACCGTAGCTGCCGAGGTACTGTCCTCTTCTCTGGATGATCAATCAAATGCTGCACGTCTGGCTGAATTAATACAGCAAGATCAGGGGCTTGCGAGTCATTTGTTACGTGTTGTTAATTCTGCGGCGTTCCGTGGCAACTCTGAGATAGTTGCGCTGCAGCAGGCGATTGCCCGTCTGGGCATGGAGCGCATACGTGAAATAGCGCTGACAGTTTCTCTAAAGGGCACAATGTTGCAGGCCGGTCCCTTCGAAAGCCTGGTTAATGATGCCTGGCAGCACGGTTTACGTACTGCTCTGTGGTCCAAAGAGATTGCTCGCGCAGCCATCAAAAATGTCGAAATCGCCTATCTGTGTGGCTTGCTGCACAATATCGGGACGCCACTTGTTATCAACAGACTCGCGCAGATGGACCCCGATCTGAGCCAGCCGGAAATGATTGAGTTGGCCAATCTGTTCACAACGCCTGCTGGATTGTTGCTGGTAGAAGAGTGGCGTTTGCCGGGCTCCGTTGATCTGACCATCCGATTTCTGGACGATTTCAGTGAAGCAAAAAATGCCAAAGACAGCGTGGCTATCATTGCCGCCGGACGGCTTGTCGCGGAACTGCAGGCGCAAGATCAGCTCAATGCCGATCTTGTTCTGCAGAATTCAGCGCTGCAACATCTCAATTTTTATCCCGATGATATCGAAAAGCTGCTGGAAAAAGCGCCGGACATCGCCCTGACCATGGAGAGCATGGCATGAATAAACTCTATGATGCGGTAGTCATCGGATCCGGTCCTGCGGGGCAGAAGGCTGCTATTCAGCTCGCTAAAGCGGGTCGTCAAGTCGCCATCTGCGAACGTCTGCGCGAAGTCGGCGGTGCCTGTGTTCACTACGGTACTATTCCCAGCAAAGCTTTGCGGGAAAGAGCTGAAGAGCGCGCGAAAGTTAATGCCAGGTTGCTGGAGTTGAATCTACCCGAAATGGATCGTTCCGTGGGGGTGGCTGAACTGATTGGCGAAATGTCTGAGGTGGTCAGTGCTCATGACCAGTACATGTCGGAACAGTTACAGCGTAATGGTGTGGAGATTGTGCATGGCCGTGCAACGTTTCAGGACGCTAACAGTGTCTCTGTGTTGACAACCACCGGCCAGCAGATGTTGTTGCAGGCCAAGAATTTTGTTATCTGCACCGGCTCGAAACCTCGGCATCCTGACCACGTGGCCATAGATCATGAACATGTTTACGACAGCGATTCGATTCTGACGCTGGCTTACCTGCCACAGACCATGGTGGTGCTTGGTGGTGGCGTAATCGCATGTGAATATGCATCTATCTTTGCCATGTTGGGGGTGCGGGTCACGTTAATAGATCGATATGCAAAACCGCTGGGGTTCCTGGACCATGATTTAACCGATGCCTTTGTGGCTGCCTTCGAGTTACGAGGTGGTGATTTTCTTGGCGAAGTAGATGTTGTCAGCTGTGCATTCGATGGTGTTTCGCAAGTGGCAACAACCCTTGCAGATGGCACCGTAATCAAGTCTGACAAAGTACTGTGTGCCCAGGGGCGAGTTGCTGATCTGCAGAATCTCAATATTGAACGTGCGGGTTTAGCCATCAACGATCGCCAATTGTTGAGTGTGGATGAGCACGGGCGTACCTCGCAGTCCCATATTTATGCAGCTGGAGATGTTGTCGGGCCGCCTTCCCTGGCATCTTCGTCGATGGAGCAGGGGCGGCGCGCGGCTTGTCATATGCTGGGCAAAGAGCTGGGTGTCATAGGTGACCTGTTACCTTCCGGGATCTACTCGATACCTGAGTTATCCAGTGTGGGTCTGACTGAGAAACAAGCGCGCGAACAGTATGATGGTGTGGTTGTCGGTCTGGCTGATTTCCGTGAAATCGCGCGTGGACATATTGCCAACGCTCAGGACGGGTTGCTCAAGCTTGTTGTCAGCGCAGATGGTGTGATACGCGGTGTGCACGTGATTGGTACCCACGCTACAGACCTGGTACATATCGGTCAGATGGGGTTGTTGCAGGGTGCTGACGTCAACACCTTTATCGACAACATTTTCAATTTCCCGACTTACGCTGAAAGTTATCGGGTTGCCGCCATTCACGCAGCGGCAAAACTGGCCGCACGAGGTGGAGCGCAGGTCAACGTGGCTTAGTGAGGGCTGGTGAAGCTTTGCTGATCAGGCCCGCGTGCGCATAACCTGACGTGCCAGGCGTTTACTGTTGCTTGCAGACATGGAGCTGAAGGTAATACCTATTTCAAAACCTTCTTCGATCGCGCAGCAACGGGTCACGCTGCCGCATTCCAGAAAGCTCAGTCCGTCATCCAGGACGATGTGCACCGCAACAAACTGATCAACATCAAGCGCATGTGGGGCAGTCAGCTGCATGCCATCATGGGATAATCCAAGGCTTTGTGTGGGTAGTGGGTCCGGGCTGTCCGCTGCAGGTGCCAGCAGGTCGATCTTCTGGTTCACCATGCTGACCGCGTGACGCACGTGCAGGTCCTGGATGTTTTCCAGAGTATTGTTAAGCGCCGCACCAAGCTCTTTGAGCGCAGCTGCAACACTGGTTCCACTGGGTAGCGCAAAGACTTCCTGCAGCCTGGCTGCGTTCAGATTGTCATCTACAAGTTGCCATTCGCAGGGCAGCCTGGTAGATACGCGCATGGATTGTCGTCTGTCACCGTCCATGCTTTAGTGTAGTCAATTTTTGGAGAAGCTCCTGTCCGCGCGTAACCCCTCTTTATTCAGCCAGCGGCTGTCAACCTGGATAGCCCTGCGGTACCTGTTGGCGCGGCGATCAGCGTTGTCATATGTGTCGCGCCTGGCTTTGCTCGGCTTGATCTTGAGCGTGGCCGTACTGGTAATTGTCCTGTCGATTGTTAATGGTTTCGAGCGCGAGCTGCGAGATCGTGTACTGGGTGTATTGCCACACGTTACCGCGCAGGTTTCTGCGGGTCTGCAGACCAGTCAATGGCAAGTACTTGTCACGGACAAGACTTTTCCAGGCATCAAAGCGCTGGCTCCTTATATCAGCGGTACTGCATTGCTGGCCGCCAATAATAAAATCCAGGGCATTAATCTGACCGGAATTGATCCTGCCACCTACATGCAGGTGACAGATGTTGTGAAATATACCCGTGGTAAAGATTTCGCAGCCCTGGAGGCAGCGCCATACGGCATTGTTCTGGGCGCGCGCCTGGCTTCGACGCTGAGCTTGGAGATTGGTGATCGAGTCCTTGTTGTGTTGCCGGTCGGCGCAGTGACGCCTGCTGGCGCGTTGCCCCGGCAGAGACGCTTTCAGGTTGTAGATATTTTCGACAGTCAGTCGCAGCTTGATGGACAACTGGCGCTGATCACGCTGAGTTCTGCGCAGAGAATGTTTCGCACCGCTGGTCGAGTACATGGTCTGCAGGGGCGGCTGGACGATTTATTTTTCACCCAGGAAGCACAGACGGGGTTGCAGGATGCGCTGTCAGGCTCCGGTGTCAGGGTACGTACCTGGATGGACACCCACGGGAATCTTTACCAGGCCATAGCGGTGCAGAAAATGACCATGTTTGTGTTGTTGTCCTTTCTGGTTGCGGTTGCGGCGTTTAATCTTGTTTCGGGTCTGATGATGATTGTAGAACAGCGCAAGAACGATGTGGCCGTGCTGCGTACGCTGGGTGCGGATTCGCGCATGGTCATGACACTTTTCTGCACACTAGGGTTGTTGTTGGCGATGAGTGGTATTGCGTTCGGTGTTTTGTTTGGCGCGGCTATTGCACTGGGTTTGCCTGGATTGTATGCGCTGGCAACACAATGGTTTGGTCTCGATCTCATGTCCCAGTATTTTATCGCCTATCTGCCCGTGGATGTCCGTTTCGAAGACCTTCTGCAGGTTGCCCTGGCGGCCTTCGTGTTGACCCTTCTGGCGACACTCTATCCAGCCTGGCGGGCAACACGACTGCTGCCGTCACGAGTACTTGCCCATGAGTAATAAAACTACAGATACCTACCCTGATGAAGCCTTGCCTGTGTCACCTTCAGGCCGGCGGGTGGTGCTGCAGGCGGAGAACCTGATCAAGCAGTATCGTCAGGGTGAAAGCACAATCCATGTTCTGCAGGGCCTGGACCTGAATCTGGCAGCCGGCGAGCGCGTCGCTGTCGTGGGTCGATCCGGATCGGGAAAAAGTACTTTGTTACATGTTCTGGCAGGTTTAGATACTGTCGATAGCGGCACAGTCACCGTGCGGGGTGAAAATATGACCGCCGCGGACCCCAACGCCAAGGCAGCTCTGCGCGGTGCACATATGGGGTTTGTTTATCAGAACCATCACCTGTTACCGGAATTCAGTGCGGTGGAGAATGTGGCGATGCCGATTCGCATCGCCGGAGGCTCGAGTCGCGATGCTTCTGAGCAAGCCAGCGAATTATTGACTCAGGTGGGTCTGGCTGAGCGGTTACAGCACCTGCCCAGCGAGTTGTCCGGCGGGGAGCGCCAGCGAGTTGCTGTCGCGCGAGCCCTGGCTGGTAATCCCGCGGTTGTTCTGGCTGATGAGCCGACGGGAAATCTCGACAGTGAAACTGCAGCGGTTGTCATGGCGTTGATGGCCAGTCTGTGTCGCCAGTTGGGCACGGCCTTTCTGGTGGTGACTCATGATGTTTCGATGCTGGGAGAGTTTGACCGTGCGCTGCGGCTAATAGATGGCAAGCTGCTTCCGTATGCCGACTGATCTCAACATGTCGCAAAGTCCGGGGACGCCAGCACCACATATGACCACAGATCGTACTTCACGTGGTTTAGCGCTGGTATTGGCGCGGCGGCTTTTAACCCATGGTGAAAACCGATTTGCGCGTTTTGTCACCTGGGTTTCGTTTCTCGGGCTGGCCCTGGGGGTCATGATTTTAACCGTGGTTATCACGGTGATGAACGGCTTTGATAGCGAGCTTAAGAGTCGATTGCTGCAGTCTGTACCCCACATTACTGTTGCCGGTGCAAAAGCAGGTGATCGCATTGAAGGTATGGCTGGTGCTTTGTCGGACGTTGCCAGCGTGCATGAATATTTTCAGGGTTTAGGTGCGCTTTCGGTAGCAGGGCGGGTACAGTCGGTGACCATTTACGGTGTGGGTGAACAAGGCATGGCGAGCCTGGGTTATCTGCAACAGACATTGCAACAGGGTAGTTTTGCGGATTTGCAGGCGGACGTGAACGGCATGTTGGTGGGCGCTCCGCTGGCGCGTTATCTGGGCTTGAGAGTAGGGGATCCTGTTGTGCTGCTGGCGATTGCTGCATCAGCCGAAGGTGTTGCCCCCAAACTGCTTCGATTCACTTTACTGGGTACCTTTGAATTGGGCGCGGAACCTGACTACGGATTGGTGATTGTTAATATCGACCGACAGACTCCTGCCCAGTGGCAAACTATGGGATCACAAGGCTTGCAGGTTCAGTTGCAGGATGCGTTGTTGGCGCCCAGGGTTGCGAAGCAACTGTCTGCCGAGTTGCCGGAACTGGAAGTGGACACCTGGGTTACTGCCTACGGTGAATTGTTCCAGGCTGTTCAGCTTGAAAAATCCATGATGTTTGTCCTGCTCCTGCTGGTTGTGGCGATCGCGTCGTTCAACATCATTGCCGGGCAGACGATGGTTGTGAACGACAAGCGCGCCAGTATCGCTATTTTGCGCACCATGGGGTGTACAGCTGGTCTGATCCGGCAGGTGTTTCTTATCCAGGGTGTGTGTATCGGCTTGTTGGGCACGTTTATAGGTCTTGGTCTGGGTCTTCTATGTGCCCGTTATATCAACGGAATTATGTCGCTGATTGCTTCAGTAAGTGGGCGTCACCTGCTTGATGGGTCCTTCTTTGTAGAAATTCCCGTTCGTATTATGCCGGGTGATCTGGTGGTCATCGGTTTAATGAGCTGTGGACTCTGCCTGTTGTCGGCCTGGTTCCCCGCGCGCAGGGCTGCGCAGATGGATCCTGTTGCGGCACTGCACTAGCCTGTTTCAGACCGTGCGGCCTTGATGCGCGCGCGCCGCGCCTGCCAGCGTTGCACCACGTGCAGGCGCCATAACACTCTTGTTAATACAAATCCCGTTACACCCGCAACCCAACCGCAGATCAGCGAACCTATCAGCAGAGGAAAACCGATGGTACCCAGATTGTGCCAGAACCAGGTGAAGCTCAATTCAATGGAATCTACGGCAATCTGCATGTCGAGCAACCAGGCGCCCAGGCGGTAGGTGAAGTAGAAGATCGGCGGGATAGTGATGGGGTTGGATATCCAGACCAACGCCACTGAAATAGGCAGGTTACAGCGAGTGACGATCGCCAATACTGCAGCAATGACCATCTGCAGGGGAATCGGTAGAAAAGCACAGAACAAGCCAATAAAGACCGCACCGGCTGCCGAGCGACGGTTCAGGTGCCAGATCTCACTTCCCGCCAGGAGATGTGCCACAGGACGAAGCGCCGGGTTCTCGCGGACCTGGTGCGGGCTGGGCAGATAACGTTTAAGGCGAGATCTCGGCATCCCCACATTATGCCCATCGAAAGTTGGTACATCATTGTCTAATGCCACAAAAGTTGTCTGTTTGCTGGTGATTTTGATCCTGACCGCAGTGCGATGGGGGCTGTGGTTCGCCTCTGCGCATGAAAAGCCTGGTTGTATCGAGCGCCAACCTCATGAAGTAACGCTGCGTCTGCTTGAGCCCGCTTCTGTACTGGCGCAGCGCCTGCTGCTCGAGGCGCAGATTGTTGCCGTTCATAGCGATGGCTGCCGCCGTCTGGAGGCGCGGAGGGTCAGACTGGTCTGGTACGACATGCAGGCGTCACTGCCTGCGGATACACAGCTGCGGGCATTGGTGGAGTTAAAGTCTCCGTCTGCGCTGGGCAACCCGGGTGGCTTTAATTTTGCCCGCTGGTTGCGTGGCAAAGGCTTTGTCGCCAGCGGTTATGTGAAGCAAGCATCTGGGCCGATGGTTGCGGCCTATCCATCAACAACATTGCAGATCGACGCTCGTCGTTATGTACATGCCGACCTGCTCAATGCCATGTTGCTCGGACGTCGCGGACAGGTCAGACAGGAAAGTTGGGACTTGTTCAGGGCAACTGGAACCGTCCATCTCATGGTTATTTCGGGCCTGCATGTTGGCGTGTTTTTCGGTTTTGTTTTTCTCCTTGTGTGCGGAGTGTTGCGTCTCTTTCCACTCCGGCGAGCAGGTTGGGTGCCGCGACAGGCTGCTTTGCTGGTCGGGTTGTTAAGCCTTGTGTTACTGGTTGTGCAGGTCGGTGCCAACCCACCTGTCGTGCGTGCCGCCATGATGACAGGGGGTGTTGCTTTCCTGTTGCTGCTCTTATGGCGCACGTCTTCGTGGCATCTGTACGCGGGTGTAATGCTTGTGGCGGTTGGCTTGTCTCC